GCTGACGGGAGATTGTGATATCCGCTTTAGACTTGATTTCTGTTATTATACTCCGGAGAGTTTACAAAAACGATTCTGGAATTCGCTAGCTACCGATGTTTATACCCAGATGAGCGTTCGTCACCTAGCATAGTAAATATATATTCGGCCTTGACAAGGCCGTGGCAAGTGACACGCGCGACAAAAACCCCTTTTTACTTTAACACATTGTTTGGAAGTTATTCTAGCTAGGATGCTGGTGCTCAACTCGCGGTGCACTATCGTTAGACTACTCTCTTTAGAGCGTGTAACACAGGAATGTTCAAAATATGATCAGTGGGTTTGTTAGTCACTCAATCACATTTGACATTGGCACGCCACTGTGGCTATGAGCTAACAGTAAGAGAAGGAATGCACACTCGAGAATCGTGTGGGTTCCGGCCCCTCTGTAACTCACGACACACAAGGGTAACGATAGCTCCAAATCCTCAATTCTATGATATCGGTTAGACTGATAATAATAAGAGTAATAGGTATAGTAATTATCGTTCTACCGATCATATCATCATAATATCGCTAATAATATGAGTTAGATTGATAATAGTAAGAGTAATCAGTATACACTGGTGGCCAAAATTAACGCACCACTTTCTTTACACCGTCGTCATTTCCACTGTGTAGGAGGTAGGACTTTGAAATTTTGAGGATAGGTGGGCCCATGGGTTGTCTCAATACTCCACGAGTGCCATTGCTACCTGCCACCCCTTCCGGGATCGGCGACCCCTTGAATACTACAGGGTCAAGAAAGTGACAAAAAAGGTTCTAAATTCGACCGAAAAAAAGAAAAAATCCAAAATTTTTGTCAAGGATGAGGCTCTTTATGTTACGGCCTTTCCGAAAATGCCCAGCTCAACCCCCTCCAACACCCCCAACCCCCTCCATAATTTTCTACCCTTTCCAAAAGGGTGGTTATTTCGATTTCGCTGAAACTTTTGCCGGAGCTTCGTCTCGATCCCTGTTACACGTGGTAAAATTTTGGTCGCATTTGCACCAACCCCTTGGACGCTACGCGCTGTCAAAGAACAACCCCTTACTGTTTTTTCATCTTTTCCACAGTTAAAAACCAATTTTGGACCTGCAATTCACGGAAAAACTTGTTTTCGTCACGACAGTATCGTGTTTGTTGATGGTTGGGCCCTAGCGTGAAACCAACCCCCGTTGTGGAGGTTGGTACCCCCAACCCTTTCAATCCGGCCCCGGGGGTGGGTGCGTAAATTGAGTGCATGCTATCGATTGAGGGACCATTGAAGCATTTCTGTACAAATTTTCAAGTCGATTGCTTGAACCGTTTTCGCGGGATAAACAAAAAAGTGGAAATTTTGCGATTTACAACCCCCAAGTTCACCTCACAATCCCTACTGATTGGAGGGGGTTGGCGTGCCGCGGATCGGCTTCTCATGAAGCTTGAACCCTCCTTTTCTCGGTCCCAGAAGATGGAATTGCTCACACGACATGCACAGCCTCCAGCGATGCCGCCAAAATATCCTGTCATCGTCGTGTCGACCAAAGCGAGCACCGCGGCCTCCAAGCGGCGAGTATGTGAACCAAAAGCGATCCGAACGATATGGACTTTCAGCCACCCAAAAAGACTCAACGAAAAATCACAGATTTCACACGCCAACAATTAACAGACAATTTTTTAAACTCGTTTCTTTCATATTTCCAGCAGTCTTACTGATTTCTTTTTCAAAGCGAAAGCCAAAAGCAAAATTGTAACAAAAAAATTGGCAATTCTCAACGCAGGAAAAAAATGAAATCAAAAATGGCGAGAAAAAATTAAATTTTAATAAAATAAAAACAATACAATGTAAATCTGGAGTGGTTTTCTAATTGACTCTGATCCCCCGGTTGCAAAATCTCCGATTTTCCAAATCGCGGGAATAACGCGTAACCGTGCCGTGATACAGTTTGGATCAACGACTCCTCAGTTTGAGGCGCGAACAATAACCGCGAGCACCAGCCGTTTTACTGCGTGTTCGATAGTCAGTTTGACTCAAGCTATGTTCCGTTTTTCGTTAGGCGGACCCCCTTGTTAGAATTACGAGTGATCTAGAAGCCGGTAGAGATCAGAGTGACGATCGATTCCACGGCTCGCGGGTCGATCGCTCACCTGTTACCTGGAGGGGATAACACGCATGCGCTATTTGGACGCGTGACGAAATAGTTTGCCTACTTGCTCTCTACCCCACCCCGCAATCCTCGAACTATGAATCGCTAATATGTGAGCGTGCTTTGTACGGTTACATCTTCAAGGAAAAATGAATTATCAAAAATATATACAGGGTATAGCCGGATAAGGTGGTCAAATGTGCCCTTGAGTCGAATTTGAGACCCAACTTGTCCATAATTATTTTTATATGAATTTAAAGTTGTCAAAGTTTTTCAAGTTAAAAAAAAACAAACCTTGAAATATTTCTAAAGTGCGTTAGAAATGTTTTTAAATAAGTAATATCTATTGTTCTATAATTAGAATTAATTAAATTAACAATTTAAAGAAAAAAAAATATAAGTTCAGGTGCGATCGAACCCGCACCAAAAAGAGTATGCAGCGGTTTACGAGTCAGACACCATAACCGCTGCGCCACCGATGTTGTTGGAAACCCTTCAAACATTTAAGTATATAAACAACGTACCATAAAACTAATTAATTAAGTTAATTGCATTGTTGTAATCCATAGATCAATTGTGTGAACGTGAATCCTCTTAAAATTACTTAGTGCATCTTTTATGGGAAAATGGCATAAAAATTCAAAGCAGAAGTTTGTTTTTCGCGCGAAAAAATCGGTTTTTTATTTTTTTAACTACGGCGCACCTCACCGAAAAATCTGAAAAAATTAGAGAATAATAGTTGTACTAATACTTAACTACCACATTAATATAAAAGTAGTGCTCCGACATCTTCACTAAAAAATCGCATTTTTTCGGATTTTCTTTCGGTTTTTGATTTTTCACGACTACAGTTTGCGAT